AATAAATCAATTATACACTACATTTACATTTAAGCAGACATGACAAAGGTAGGTGAACAATGTTGGGATGATTACTCAAAAAGTAATGTATTACACACTGTTAATATAAACCTTAAGCTACAGTCCCACACACCAACACAAATCCCTGTCCTACTTAGGACACATGATTTTTTTGTACCATTTACATATGAACACTACTGTAGGAACTTGAAGAGAAAAAAATAAAGGCTGCATTGCAACAACCCTTACTGCTCATCACTTATCACCTTAACATTAGTTTCGGTTCTTGGCTAGCTTTGTGTTAGCATCTGTCTGTTCAGATGCTTCCTGAGAACGGAAGTTTTGTTATCAGTATAATGCAGCTGTTTCTGTTCTAGGTGCAGTTTCCAGTTTGCCATCACAATCATCACAAAAATAATGTCCATATCCATATTTTCTACCTCCTACAGCTTTTCTGAGTATACACCAAGTCCCATCAGGAATGTATTTTCATATAATCAAAATGTAGCAGGAGCAATAAGTGGTTGATGGCTTGTGTTCTTATTCAGCATTTGAATGTCTTTCATGGAGAGGTAATAATGATCATCTAGATCAGGCAGAAAATCAGTTTCAGGCCAATTATCAGGCCATGTTTCTCTTTCTTTCATGCTTTCTTCAGCCCCAGTGGCAAGCTCAGCACCCCTCTCTTCCTTCCACAGCCTCTTGTGCTCTTCTTTAAGTTCATTGTAAGTGCGGTTAAAAGTGTGGAAGATAGATGTGGAAGGGAAAGACAGGATGAGGATCCCTGCTAAGATGATGATTAGCGCCCCCACTTGGCCGGGAATGCTGCGTGGCACCATGTCTCCATACCCCACGGTGGTCACGGAGATGATGGACCACCAGTATGATGCTGGGATGCTGCTGAACATTAGCTGGGGGGTTCTAGCAGCATTTGGAGCCAGCTCACTTTCAGCAAGGTGGACAAGTGGAGAAAAGAGGGCCACGGCGACACAGATGAAGAGCAGCAGCAGGCCAAAGTCAGTCACGCTTCTCTGCATGGTCAGCCCCAGAGTCTGCAGACCCATAGAGTGACGGGCCAGCTTCATGACATACATGATACGCAAGGCCCTCATCACACGCAGGATTAGACCCAGTTTATCTAGAGTGCTCTTTCCTGCACCAGCAACAATATCGTGCACTGTTTCGTCCTTAAACTCAAGAAACAGGGAAACATAGTAGGGCAAGATGGCGGCTATATCAGTAATGTTGAGTGGTCCCTGAATGAACTCCAGCTTGCTCTGTGCATGGAAAAACCGCACCAGAAACTCCAAAGTGAACCAAGCCACGCAAATCGACTCTACCAAGAACATGTTTCGGCACTTCTGAGAGCATTCACCCTGCAAGAGTAACAAAAGACAGAAATCCATTGGTAAGTTTAATTGATCTAAATGTACACAATTTAATAATTATCTTGTAGGCTGATAACCAGCATTGGTGCAAAACACTAGTTTAGTACCTTTCTTCCACCAAGGTTATGATGATGGTTGTTGTGCTAATATGTAGCCTGTTTTCCCTTTGAAAACCAGACCACATTTTGACCAGTTTGAGAGCTAACTGTTACATAGTGTTGGTCAAGGTAATTTCCATCTGTAAAAAATTGCCACAAAATTGCTGATGCCAGTGGTTCCAACTGTGAGCCGAGCAATTTTGTGGTGCCATGCATGTGGCAGATTGCAGCTATAAACTCTTTTTATATCTACCTAGTAGCAGCAAATAAATACATGAGCAACTAAACAAGGATAAAACTAAAAACTTAAAAATACTGTCAGAAACTACAGAATCTAATTCATTGGGTCAAATCTGAAGTTCCACACATGGTTCAACTTAGAAACATAACGAAAGTACATTAAGTACTGAATGAAAAGAGGTCTAACTGAATTTATTTACCATCTCTCTAAAGGTTGTTCCAAATTTTAAAGTCACATTAAATTGACTGGTGGTTAAATAGCACTTTTCTACTCTGACTGATCAATCAAAGCACTTTTTACTCCAAGCCTCATTCACACAATCATACATCTATTCATGTAAGCGATTTTTTTTATACCTAAGCACCATCGCAGTCTGATGGATGCACCGAGGGCAGTAGGTTCAGTATTTTGCTCTTGGATACTTTGACATGCTGGCTGGAGAAGACAGAGTGAACCACCAACATCTAGTGATGTGCGATACCACTGATTTGCTTTCCGATCAGATACCAAGTAAAATTCAGGGTATTGACGATACTGATGCTGTGTACAAAAACTTAATGTTTCATTGTACAGTATTTCATAATACAATATATAATTGTATTATGTAATTGTAATAATATAGCTTCATAATGATTACAGGACATCAGACTACTTGTTTTTATTGCTTAATAATGCAGAATTATCATATAGAAATAAAAAAAAAACCTGAAGTTGTGCGCTATTTGAACACGTTGCCTGCCTGCAGCACTAAAGGACTCTGCGAGAGACGTCTGTCTTGCCCCAGCAGCACCTGTCCCTCTCCTCCTCTTCAGTTCGCCTCAACATAAGCTCATCATATTCTGTGATAGGATTTACTCTGAGGTGTTTGACAAGGTTAGTGGTGTTGCCACAACACCTCACTGTATTGCCACATGTATGGCAAACCGCGTCTTGGCTGTATGTGGAGGTAAAATACGTCCACACATGACTCCGTTTACACTCAGCCATTGTTGTGAGTGCGCACGCCAGGGGCCGCGACACATTTATACAGGCATATTTCACATATGACCATGAAAGGCGTAAGCGGAAGTAGTTCCTTCCAATTTAGACGATCCGAATGATATAGTTTCTTTCCAATTCAATTCAATTTTATTTATATAGCGCCAAATCACAACAAAAGTTGCCTCAAGGCGCTTTATATTGTACAGTAGATCACACAATAATAGATACAGAGAAAAACCCAACAATCATATGACCCCGTTTGAGCAAGCACTTTGGCGACAATGGGAAGGAAAAACTCCCTTTTAACAGGAAGAAACAGAAACCTCCGGCAGAACCAGGGTCAGGGAGGGGCGGGGCCATCTGCTGCGACCGGTTGGGGTGAGAGAAGGAAAACAGGATAAAGACATGCTGTGGAAGAGAGCCAGAGATTAATAACAGATCTGATTCAATGCAGAGAGGTCTATTAACACATAGTGAGTAAGAAAGGTGACTAGAAAGGAAAAACTCAATGCATCACGGGAATCCCCGGCAGCCTACGTCTATTGCAGTCCTAAGGGAGGACTCAGGGTCACCTGGTCCAGCCCTAACTATATGCTTTAGCAAAAAGGAAAGTTTTAAGCCTAATCTTTCTTTTTTTAAATTCTTTCTTTTCTTTT